TGGATTGCGTGTCGTACTCATAAACCCACGTCTCGTCTCCAGTAATGATGCGTTTGATGAATGTTGGGTCGGATTCAGTCTTGGAAATCATGTCTTTGGCGATGTCAACGCGGTCCCTTTTTTGCATGAAATTCAGTTCCTTCGGGACCAACTTTGCAGCAACACGGCGCAAACCCAAATCATTAACTACAATGTCCTGAACGGATCCATAAGCAATGTTTAAGTCCTCTGCCAGCTCTCTGATAATTAATTTGCGGTTATTGGCCAACATTTCTCTCACTTTATTGATGTTTTCGTCGGTTTTCGATGTCGACGGTCTGCCACTGCGTTTGTTATCCTCGACGGATTCACGACCACTCTGAAGCGTTCATATCACTCGTAAACGATTGTTTTCTTTAGAACATCACTGCCGAAACAGTTTCCCAACATTTCCAAGGTTTTCGCACCATTGAATCCATTTTTAACGCAAAATTTAATACAAACTCGTTGTTGCAAATTCAACTCCATTTTTAAAACTGTAAAAAATCAAAAACACGCGCAGAGGTAGATGTACTCAAGACGGCGTAATTTTTACAAATGTCAAGCTATGGCGATAAAATTTGATGGAAATGTCAATGATAGATGTGGCAACCTAGCCAAAAAAAAGAACTCAAATCAGCTGACTCAGAGCATCACCTGGTGGTCTCTTCCGGAAACTTTTTGATCAAGTTGGTATGTGTATGTGAGTATATGTACATTATGGATGGTAATGTATAATAAGAAAATATACAATATGTACTTTTATACGTATAATACATACATTTATACAACGTATGTTATACTTTATGTACAATGTTTATAATTAATGAATCCAGTTTTATTGTTAAAATAAATATTATTTATTAGCACTATAATTCAGAATTTACAAGGCAAAATTAAAATTGAAAAATGTTTTTCCTGAAATGAGAAATTTTATGATGTTTCTAAGCGATCATTCATCATAAGCTATATCACATCTAGCGCTGCTTTACCTCTCTCTGTTCAAGAAAATAAATAGAATCTGATAAGAAAACTTTTTATCAAATTGAATATTGAATTTAATTCCAGTTTTTTGTATTCACAATCGTAAAATCCAGATACAGAACCTTCATCACAGTATGTAATAAAAGAGATATTCGTGGTTAATGAAAATAGATCCTGAATTATAATAGTTATACATTTTTATAATAGTTATACATTTATAATAGTTATACATTTCATATCAAGTTGAATATCGTAATTGTTTAATATATATTCCAATGTCGAGATTCGTGATTTTTAAAACCGCCTGTTTTAATACGATATTCATTTCACTCTTTTCACATCACTCTTTTCTATCTAGATGTATTTATATTAATAAAAAGTTATTTATATCAGTATTTATCATATTACAATAAATAGGGGATTTGGTTCAAATTTTTCATATCTGTAATCGTACAAATCAGATATATAGAATCTTTTATCCGCCTACTCCTATCTTGACTACTCAAATCAATCATGTTGAATACGGAAATCCTAATTCATTTTTGTAAATATCCTATAGTGTTCTAACTCGTTTTTTCAACAATATAGTATCTGATTGAATATTAAATGTCTGACGACTGTTATCATGTTAATTCAGAAAATCTAGATTCATGCAAATATTGTAAGAAATAAGCGATGAGAAAAATATCAGAGAGGATTCGAACCGAGGCCTAGTCTTCTCCATAATACTAGACTTCCATCAAGTCTCCAAGTCACACAGTGGCGCTGATAGCTTCTCAGTTGTGCCTATTTTTTCTAAATTTCTTACAGTAATTCTTACAAATTTCCTATCGTGTCTTAAATCGTTTTCTCGAGAAACTATCACTGCATCTCATTGAATACTAACCGTCTGATGACTTCTATTATGTTGAATCCGAAAATCCTGTATGTGAATGCTTCACAGCTATGGTTTTTATACAGGTTTATGTTTATTCTATTTTTGTTGTTTGCAATAACGACAAATTGTCTTTGTAGGATTTTCAGTTAATCTTTTGTATACGAGCTCTAACGCTCGTCAAATATTAATCTAATTTATATTAAATAATAATTTATAGGAATTGATCAATTAATGTTTGATAAACGCAAATATACAAATATTATACAGCACTTTGACGCAAGTTTGTTAGGAAATTTTACCTAAAACGCCTAAAACGACATACAATATGAATTCTTTAGGCAAATACGCCGCGCTGGAATTTACGTCGCAGAAGTTAGAACAAATAGAAGAAGAGAGGATAATTTTTCCGCAACTATTCTCTCTGTTATATGTCTTTATATGTTCATGTCTTATTATATGTACATGTCTTATTATATTAGTATTGTGTTATGATTTTAGTTTCTTACTGTCAATATTAATGAAATTATTGTTGAATCGATTTGTTACTGTAATAAATATATCGTCATTATAAATTATAATCTACATAAAATGATTACTGTAGGGTGCGTAAAAGATTTAGGGTCGATTGTTTCATCTTTAGATAAACTATATCTAATTTACTTATTGGATAAACAAAAGAGTAAAAAAGTAAGAATGTAACTCATAAGAGAGTAAGACAGTGAACTGAAGTTTAGTGGAAGGTGAAACAATCCAGCATTAGTATGATGATTATTTCGTGATACATAAGTGTAGAGAAATAGTAAAGCATGTTGTAAAATACAAGTGCTTTGCTCTTGTATTCTTTGTTTGGTTTGTTGTCTTGTATATCCCATCTGTTTGGGATATGCATTTTTAATGGACGGGATGGCCAAAGCATACAAAATGCTCAGATTGGATTCAGTGCACTAAATGCAATAAACACATTACATGAAATGTATACTTCATGTAATAATACTTATAATATATGTAGGAAGATTGTAATTATCATCTATCACTTCGTGTATATATTTATCATTTTTATTCCTTGATATAACTTTGTAAACATATTTTAAGTTATTGTGCCATTTTATATCTTATTTATAAGCATTATTTGTAATGTTTTATGAGCCGTAACATACCCTCTTCCTCCTAAAATGAATAGTCATGTATCCCATTCCTATAGGATATATGGCAAAAATGCATTTCAAAAAGTTTTTTTTTTAATACGAAAAATAAATATTTTGGATTTCTAATATTTTTTTCATAATAGTAGATATTACAAAGTTTTTGCTGATATAGTTCGTTTACTTTAAAAATAGTAAATAATACTTAATAAATTTAGTTTTTGTTTTGTGCCGGAATTATTTTAATTGTAAAAAGAAAGAAAACAGTTGAATGTTGTTTCAAGCCCTTAATATGTATTAACAATTTGACTGGCAAACGCGGAGCGTCGGCCGTTTAAGCAACGATCCTCTTGACATCTGCGGGTGTATGAACCCGTGAATCTTGACCCGGATGTGCGTGTGCAATTGATGCGTTCTCGTGTGTAAAACTTATCTTGCGAAAAGCTCCGCAATACGTGGAATCACAATAATCTCCAGTTCTTTTGGATTGTCAGCAAGTGGAACAGGTGAGTATTTATACCTTTTTATTATTGAATGTAATTCTTTGGTGATAAAGCAAATGCACATTATATTTCAAGTCTCGTTCTCGATGATTGGCTATGTAGTACCGTCTTCTCTCTCTCATGGCACCACAAGCTTCAGAGTAAATATTTTTCTTTTCTTTCCCTTTCCCATGTCCTATGCTTTCGTGCTTTATAACATTTTCTGTGGTCGAAGGAGTCACAACTCAGAGGTAAATGTGGTTAGAGAAAGGTATTTTTTTTACAGCTATAATGTCAAAAAAAAGTGCGAAAGCCGCGGAATTAGAGGCATTGAGCGAGCAGATGAGATGCGGAAAAAACTGAGAAGATTAAAGAGACCAGCGGCCGAGGAAGAGCTTCCTGCCGCCATAGAAATTCAGATACAGGTTGAGGAGAAAGAAAATGGTGAGTAAAATATAGATATTCGCAAGCAAAATGGTAATGAGCCTTTACTAGAGGACAAATCATACAAAAATAGCATGAGTCTTCGCTAGAGGGAGGACATGCTATGAACCTCCACTCGAAGAAGGGCAAAAAATCGCTCTCGGCGAGACAAAATATTCATTCGAGTCGATGTATTATGTGTCGCGGTCAGAAAAGATACGGAGGACCTAACCGCGAGAAATTCTGAAGACGAATCTGAGGAGAGATCAGACATTTCTTCGTCAAATGCCTCGAATACTGACGAGGAAGTGAGAAGGAATGAGAAAGCAGAGAAGGTTATAGATAAGATCAAAAAAGATGAAGGCACGAAGAGTCTCAGCAAGGAGGCTCGAGAAAGTCTTTGTCTGAGAGCAGAGCCGGCAGATTCGGCTGATGTCGCCCTACATCCAATACTAGTCAAGGAATGGATAAACTTGATTCATAAAGGCCTTTATGAGGGGGAGGAAGAGGACGAAAAGAAGCGGGGAAAAGAGGAAAACAAACAACGCGAGGTGATTATGAACAAATTCCTTAGGAAGGAAGCCCTGTTTGTCGAGGCACCAAAACTTAACCTTGAAATTTTGGCCTTCATGTCGGGAAAAAACAAAGGTAAACATTTTGTCACAGTACAAAATGCGTTAGACTCAGCGATGGTAGTGGTGACCAAGAGCATTTCCCTAATCCTAGAACTAGAAGAAGGTGAAATTTCTAGTAAATTACTACAGAATTTGGGGAATGCCGGAAAGTTAATGGCAGGATTACATTATTAAAATTCAGTAATGAGAAGAGCCTTTGTTATTCCTAGTATTGATGAGAAATACAGAGACTTATTTAAAAAATCGGACATAACGTCTGATCTTTTTGGCAAAGACTTATTTAAACGCCTAAAATATACAAAGTCTCTGAATAAAATAGTGGAAGAACTCACTCCACATCAACAAAAACCGTTAAAGATGCAAAACCATGGACCATGGAAATCGAAAAAGCCTGCCAAGGAAATCCAGGGCCCGCAACAGGCTCAAAAATCAAAACAGCTTCAAAGGTCTCTCCAGTATAAGGATCGCCAGAAAAACTTTTCTTGGAACAACAAGAATGAAATCGAGCCACTACAGACAGACTAAAGATGAGCAACGTGGTTGGACGACTAAGATTTTTTCAAGAGAAATGGAGGTTAATCACCAAGGATAAGTTTATTCAAAATTGTGTTAAAGGTTATTCATTTCGTTTCGAATCGAAACCCAACCAAACCTCTGTACCAGAGACATTATTGCAAAGTTCTCAGACTCTGCAGGATGTCAAAAAAAGCGATTGATAATCTTTTATTATTAGGGGCGGTTAGGCCTTGTATTTTGAAAAGTTCCCGGTTCATATCGTCATACTTCTTAATCCCAAAACCTGAACTTTTAGATTTATTTTAAATTTAAAAAAGTTAAATATATATAAGTTTATTATAACAAAACATTTTAAATTAGAAGACTATCGTACTGCGGCGAAGTTACTCTTTGGAGATTTTTTGGCAAAGTTATACTTAAAAAACGCTTATTTTCTTATACTGATAGACAAAATCTCTTCAAAATATTTAAAATTTAACAAGTATAAAAAGAAGAGCATAAGAAACCACAGCACAAGTTGTAGATTGTGATATTTAATTATTATTACATCAATTAAAACATTAAACGTTTCGGCCACAATCTGGCCATCTTCAGTAAATTCATAATATTCTTAAGACGCAGAGTTACATCTAGTTGGCATTAAATTCAACTGTCGTATGTTGTGATTGTATAAACGTGTTCATTTCTATGAGAATATGCTTCATACAATAATGTTAAAACGCCCAAAGTCTTATCACGAAAAGTGTAGAACGAGAATTTCCAGATTCTAATTTAAAATCAATTTGTATATCATTAATATTTTCTAATCGGAATATATAATAAAAGAATAGAATCGTTACCTGTTTTATAGCAAAAAAATTATAACGATGAAGTACGTCTCAAGTACATCCTATGCACAGATAGAAATTTGTCGTGACATTGTGTGTTATTATTAGTCATATCGTATATTTTACCTATTTATATATATGAGTCAACAGTTTGGAAAATTCTAGAATTATTTATTAAATAAGAGAGAGATCTTTCTTTAGAAGAGGAAGATAAACATCAGGCAAACCTTCCGTGTCACTTTGCTTATTGATACCACTTGTTTGGCCTTTTATATGTATCATTTCAGAAATTCTTCTTTCCATTAATGATTGTTCTGTATCTAAAATTCTTATGTTATCCCAATCCAATTCATGCATCTCATTCAACCGGTGACGTGAAACCACTGATATCTTGGAAGTGGGTTTTTTTATGTCAGCCTTATGTTCTTTTATACGAGTTTTTAATTTCCTTTTAGTTTGGCCAACATAAGACGATTCATAATTTAAACAATTAATTTTGTAAACAACTCCACAATGGTCATCCTTAAGCAAAGGATCTTTTCCTGTCTTTATAAATATATTCAATTTATTCATAGGTTTATAAGCTATATTAAAACCATGAATATGTGAAAGTTTTTTGAATTTTTCCGATACTTTGCTTAAGTATGATATCGTGAAAAATTTTTTTCTCGAATTCGCATTAGAATCACATTCATTATTATTTTCTTCGTGATTTTGATTTAAATTAGTTCTATTCTCCAATGTTTTTATTCTATTTTTAATTGTTGAAAATATGAATTTAAAAGGATAACCATTACTTAAAAAAGTGTGAATTAAATCAGAGATGTTTTTTAGATGAAATTTAGGATGAGATAAAAGCAAAATTCTATCAAATTGCCCAATGATTACTGCCCTTTTATGTACTAACGGATGATTAAAAAAATAGTTTAAATATCCTCCAGAATTGGTAGGTTTTTTTATAAATATCAAAGCTAATACTTACTGCTTGTCTCATAAGGGGGTATAACACCTTTGCGGCTTCAAAAAATAAAAAAAATTTTTTATTGGCTTAAATGATACTTTAAGATGTCTAGAATATGATCCCATTAACGCCTAAGCGATCTTGAATTTATTTCACGTCGAAAACAGCTATGCTTGTGTGTTACCTCTAGCGCGGGGAGAGGGCCTCGGGGCGCTCCGAGCTCGCTGCCTTTCTCTTGTGTTTGTCAAGTATTTTAGGTTGAAGTTTTCAAAGCAGTCAAGCCTATCTATGAAGAATTAAGTTCTGACGATTTATTATCCCGCTGTATGGTCAGGC